TTACATAGTTCTTAGTGTCTTTATATTTTTGCCAGAATGGTACTAGATGCTGTCTCCCAGAGCAAAATTACTTCTGAAAGACTGATAACTTCTGTAGACACAGCTGTAGTGTATTATGATAGAATTGATTAATTAATTCTCATTATATTTTGTTCCTATTACAATTATAAATATATTTGTAGAAAGGTAATTTTCATGCATATAAATAATTATGCATTCTTTCCTTGATTTAATCAGCATTTGTTTTATTTTGAAACATCAATGACGCACTTATTTCAGCCAGCAAATATACAGCATTAAGGAAAAACCTTTGCATTATAGAGCTTCCAGAACCCAACAACTCTAATGTAATTAACAGTTGCCAGAATGTTCATGAAAGTGAAAATCCCAGGTTACACCATTAAAATTCCCTCAACAGTAAGCCTGAGAAGAGACCAGGCATCTGCACTTTTAACAAATGTCCAAGCTGGAGGTTTAGGGAATTGTGTTCAGAGAAATAAAGTTCTGCCCAAGAGTACCTTTGTGTTGAATGAATTTAAGCACAAGTACTCCGACGAGGACACGCAGTCTCTGGCACTGCCATATTTTTGGGAGCACTTTGATAAGGATGGCTGGTCCCTGTGGTACTCTGAGTACCGCTTCCCTGAAGAGCTCACCCAGAATTTTATGAGTTGCAACCTCATCACTGGAATGTTCCAGTGGTTGGAAAAGCTGAAGAATTCCTTTGCCCGTGTCAACCTCTTTGGCACCAACAATAGCAGCTCCATTTCTGGAGTCTGGGTCTTCCGGGGCCAGGAGCTTGCCTTTCCGCTGAGTCCAGATTGGCAGGTGGACTACGAGTCATATACATGGCGGAAACTGGATCCTGGCAGTGAGGAGACTCAGACGCTGGTTCGAGAGTACTTCTCCTGGGAGGGGGCCTTCCAGCATGTGGGCAAAGCCTATACTCAGGGAAAGATCTTCAAGTAAACATCTCTTGCCATCGCCTAACTGCCTGCACCTGCCCTTCAGGGAGATGGGTATCATTAAAGGAAACCGAACGTTGGAAAAAAAAAAAAAAAAAAAAAAAAACCCAAGCTGGAGGTTTAGGGAATTGCGTTCAGAGAAATATAGTTTCGAAATCCAGAAAATGGAAATGAGAAATTTCTTTTTTAAAACCTGAAGAAGTAACTCTTCTATCACTTGAAACCTATGCTTTTTCCATGCTAAATAACTTTGTAACTTGCAGTTTCTGAGTAATTGTAATTAAAATTTTCTATTACTTGGCACTTCCAAAAACAAAGATTGAATTCCATAGGGTTGTGAAAAATTGCTAATTGTTAAGTAGCATGTATGTAAATAAAATATTCAAACACATCAAAAATAGAAGAAACTTTGAATAAGATTGATAATAGAGGAATATTTTTCATATGTTCAATAACTGTGTTCTTACATCGCATTTTTGTATAATATACAAAGTTGACTCTCAGAACATGATCAATGCTTGTTTCCTACTTGGAAAAAATTTAGTGTAAAAAACCTTTCCAGTGTGTAAACGGGAGTAATCCATACAAGGGTCATATTGTGAAGTATTTATTTTAGATGATACAAATCTTATTTTTGTAATTTCTAAAAATGGGGG